CCCTCTCGCACTTATCAGCCAAAACACCGAAATACCGAGAAACTACAGGAACACTGGTAGTTAACTGGTGTTGTATGTTTCCATGTGCAGTGGCTTGCAATTTTATGGTGTTTTCCATAATGTGAGTTATGGCTGTTGCACATAAATATTTTGTGGTCTATGGGTATTCCGTTAAAGTGCTTAAGCAGGCGCAGACGCATGCGTTTGTAGTAGCGGGAAAATTTATGTTGTTAAGGACAATGATGATGATGGAAATGATAGTAAAATTTCGAATGAAGGATTTTCCCAATAATAATACACCAAGAGGTTGCAGGAAATTTCTAGGTACATTTGTGAAGAATCGAGAAAATTTGGAAAAAATAGATTCAACTTTAACCCATCGCAAAGAAAAAAAAAACTTTAAGTTAAGCATTCATTTAAAAAATGTCAATATTATTGAAGATAATAACATATTATATTAAAAATCCATTTCAGTCACTTAAATGAAATGTTTCTTATTATACGAGTCCATTTTCCCTGACATCCCTACTAACGCCTAAAAAGCATATTTCAGCAATCTGCTTATTATCATGACATTGTCTTTAAATTTTATATCATGAATTTCCAATAATAAATTTAAAAGTGAATAAGAGTAAACATATGAGGGACTAGATGATCACGGAACTAACATTGGTACAGTAGAAAAGACTAGCGACTAATAAAAGTACATATATGAATAGAAAAAGTAGAGAGAAAGGGGCCTGCTTCAAGAACTATTTGATTTAGGTTCTTGCTAATATTAACCTACCAAGATAAGATATAAACCTATACTTGTTCATAAATATCCAATATATCCTATCAAATCATGTTTAAATTGTCTGTTCTTGGGAAAGTTAGAAAAAGTATACGACTAGGTTTTCAAAGATTCCTATATCTACCTATCGTTTCAAGATGCCTTGCATTCCCAAAAACTTCTAGCTGTTAGCTACTCCGTAATAGTTTTTACAGTTTTATGACCCCTATAGGCTTTTGAGAGTAGAAGCCAATAGTTTTGCGCTGGTTAAAATATAGTTTAAAGAAGGCTAAATCAATCACAAGGAAGCATAAATTCCAGTATTTGTTATGATTATTATATGCTACTAATTGCTGGATATATACACTTTGAGCACAATGCCAACTGAAGTGCTCTTAAAATGTCTTAGGCAAATCTTTAGTAATAACGCAACGATTACCCTTCTCCAGCCCAAGTCATGAAAAGTAGGTGAAAAAGTTTTTTAAACATCGAGATCCCAAGCGGCTGAGCTACAGAAGCAAAATTTTCAACAGCTAAGATTTAACAATACTGAAAATATATGAAGATTTTTTTTTTCATAACAGGGAGAGTTTACTAAAAATCCATACCCAGAAAAGTGTAAAAACTATAATTATAAGTATTTTAATGCTTTTAAGAGAAATAAAAAGATCAAAGAAGCATATATAAGTAAAAGTATATACCATGATATAAAAAAATGAGTATATATGATATATTATATAATATATGAAAAATCTATATATAATCGGAAACATTTGGTACAAATGGAAGTATGCGAAAATATTTTTGAAAACTTTATATAAAAATATAATCCGCTTAGAGAAAAAAATACTATAATACAACAAAGCAAAGAACAATTTTAATTACGTTTGTGAACTTATGAAATACTTTTCCCGTTTTCTTAGAAGAAAATTTTTAAGAAAATAGATAACGATTATTAAAAAATATAAAAATAAATTTTTTACCATTTACTCTGCATTTACAAATGAAATAAATTCTATTTAACATATATGTAAATGTCAGCAATCGCCATAAAAAGCATTAGCATTTCATTTGCCACACTTAAAATAAGTAGCAACAGGTCGAGCGGCTTTAAGTTATCGCTGGCGAGCGAATGGCCCGCGGAGAATTGAAATCTTGTTTGCAAACGACATCAACAAAGCCGCACATCAAACGTGACGGTAAATTTAAATTTGCAAAATGTGCATTTATTTATTATAGTTAAAGGCAAATGTATATTTTTTGCAGTAAAAAAGAAGAAAAAAAATTAAAAATAAAAAACCAAAACAAAAACAAAGAAATATGAACTGAAGAAGCGCCAGCCAGTTCAACTAACGAAGCTAAAACAGCGGCAAAACAAGTTTCGAAACGGAACTCACAGTTGAAAAAGTCAAAGTTCATGAAAAGCCGCTTTGTTGCAAAGACAATTTTGCAAAGTGACAACAGCAAAAAAAACCAAGCAGCCAACCAACTGATTCTCACAGCAGCTAATCGCGTGCGCAACAAAAGTCTTAAGCGGCGAACTCGGCGGCCAAAAGAGTTGAGGAACTTGTATAGAAATATATATTTGCGCTAATATATGTAAATATATCTCTATGTTTATATATATAGTTAAATCAGCACATGCTCATCATATGCGGCAGTTCGAGCGCCTGTTGTGAAAATCCCTCGACCACATAGCAGAAAACAAAAAGAAAATGTGTGGGAATTTTCCCTTAATACAACGCCTGTGCATTTTCCATCCCTCCACGAATCGGCAGCTTAGCAATAGCGCCATTATATTGTCATAAATAGGCGCAGTCAGCACGCACTTCTGCACACACAAACAACCGTTCACTTGAAATCGGCCAAACTGAGCGGTGGCACACCTGAGGGAAAATCGCTGCCGCTGGTTTATGGCTGGGAACAACAACAAACACGCACTTGAAATGGGCTCTGCATGCATTTGAAGTCACTCCGATTTTAACGACTAATTGCAATCATGCGCATCTTGCGAACACATACACACATATGTATCTATGCAAGCAACTTTACTTGTAGGTACATATGTATAATATGTGTGTGCGTGCGTGTGAGTTTTGGTTTGCGCACGCAATATGCTTATTTCACTTTTCTGCAATAACAACAACAGCATGTTGTGAGCTCCTGCAATTTTCCGCATTATGCACACACACACACACAATCTATGACAGGCATATACTAGTATATTTGACAACTTACATTCATGCATCTTAGGCATGTAGTTTTTGTTTTTTTTTGTTTATATTTTCCTGCATTTATTTACTTTATAAGTAATTAAAAAATATCACATATAAAGTGTTTGTTATTATTGACGGTAAAAGTGGCAAATGCGTTAAATTTTTGACATGGGAAGTGAGTAAATTATTTTTACAACTTTTATGTGTTAAATGAGATTTCGCGACTGGAACTTGAAAAAAATTTTAAAAATTAGGGAATTCGGAAGGGTGGTTGGCAAACTTAATAAAAAATATTTTATAAAACAAAAAATTCTCCATATAAATAATATAACATATTTATTATACATTTTCGGCTTTAAAAGACCGAAAAATTATTTTACGATTTAGTTAAAATGTGCATATTTCCTGCATATGCAGTTCTTCTCAAAATTGCTATTTACTTAAGGGTTTATATCCACCACATTCGCAGTTTTTGCTTGTATATCGAATGTAGATATGTATATTTGCAAATATTCTCCGAAAGTTCGTAGTTAATCCGAGAAATGTTTTCGTAGATGTGAGCAAATTTGTAAGCATTTTTTAACTACTGTAAACGGTGTTCAAAACTTTTATCGCGTTTTCCTCGAAACGCTGTTTTCACAGTCGGTTAGAAAAATTTCCCGACCAACTTAAAACTTTCACACGACCTTTTGAAATTTATATTCCAAGTAATGATTGTAAGTTAATTTTTTTGTTAGCCACCATTTTGTCAAAAAATCAGAATATTGACTAAACCTTCGATCGTTATCTGTATTTAACTATAGTAATAATAAATTGTTTTGATTTTTGTCTTTTGAATAATTTTAAGCAGCAAAATCTTTTCCATCGCCAGGTCCTCCTGGATATCGGGTATGGAATCAAAGGAATCCAACATTTTTTAAAATGAATCACCAATAATTAAACTGCATTAAATGCCGTAGATGTTTATTATTTATAAAATAAAATAACTTTTAAAAAAATCATGAAGGAACGCGTTTTTTCTGACTTGCAAGTGGGTAATCCCATTAAAGAAGTTAGGTAATGTTCATATTTTTTATTCGTAGTATACTATTAGGCGCATTCAATATTAATTTTACTTATTTTTAGAAGAAAGAAGATACCTTAAATAAACATACATATGTATATAATTTTAAATTTTGCTTCATTTTATATTTTTAATTGTAATTATTTCTTATACAAAAGTAAATCCAGGTCTAAAGTCAGCGAACATTTTTATTGCTTTATAGTAGGTCATAGATACTACCAGGAATCTGTGCTATGCAATTCGAAGTGAAAACTACAAAATATTTAGACTTTAAGTGTGGTTATTGGTGAATAAAGAAGTGGGTCAAAAAATACTCCAAGAAATAATTAATTTGAATGCTTGCACATTATAAAATCCAGAAAAATGTTTAATTTAATGTGCCTTTACAGCCATTTAATTTAGTTATTAAAAACTATATTTTAAAATTTCTTTCAACAGTTAGGATCTAGAAGACCAAAAAATGAGGTAACACAAGAATACAATTATTCACCGATATTAATCATAACTGGTAAAAAAAAATATATTAAAGTACATACATAACTTTATACTGAGAAAATGGCATCAGTTTGCCTATAACTATGCCTTAACTAAGTTTACATTCCACAAATCTACTATTAGTGGATTCCAAATTATTTCGATTTTCACAATTGGCTTAATTTTGCTCCTTTAAAAGCATTTTTGTAATATACTTTACAGCGAAGATGTAAATTTTTTTATAACTTGCCAAACGAATATCAGCAAATGAAGTTTAAACTCCAATGCGATCGTATAACACAATCCACTCAATACAATAAAGTACATTGGAAGATCAGCAAAACGTTGCATACTTTTAGTCGCAAGCGATGTGATTAGCCACAATTCACGCATACGCTAACTCATACACACACAACAAAAATTTTATATAACAACAAAATCGTTTTATCGTGAAACATGGGTTGTCTTCACTTACCTTCAGCGCACAGAATATACAATCTTGACCGCAGCAAATGTGATGATTGAGGGTGCGAAAAGAACGACGAAAGGCGTCCAAGTGCCATAAGACCTGCAAGCAAAGAAGAGGAGATAGGGAATATGAAATAAAATTGTAAAACTTTCAGGCCAACATACATATATATTTATATTTATGAACATATATATCCATACATATATGAACTTAGAAAAACACAAAAGCAAAGTAAAAGAAATCATAAAAAGGTTTGGCTGCCAAGCAAAGCATTAAGTCTTCGTATTTTGTGCTTTGTCTCGAGTATTTTCTCAAGCCAGTCACTTTAGATTACGCTCTACCGTATCGAGTGAGTCAAACGAGTTTTTATGGCGGCCATGTTTTTGTTTTTCTTCTACAAATGCTCGGCGCACAACAGAACTCGGCGAGCAACGCTGTTTGGACGACTTTCGTAGCCAAAGCGTACAGCGAAAGAGTTAAGCGAAGAGTTCAAGATTGGCTGCTGTACATACACAGCTATATATCTAGTCAACTATAGATGTATATATGTATATGTGTGTTTACCCCATTCGCCACAGTCACAGCCCACCACAGCGGAGAACGACACAGCAAGAAAACTGGTTTCTGTGCTGCTCGAAGTGGCCAAACGCTTTACCCCAACACCACACGCTGGTGGCTGGGGCAGAATTTAGACTTAACAGCCGCAACATTTGTTGCTCAGCAACTTTGAAGCTGCCAGCGCCTACGTCGCTGCCGCTGCTGCTTGGGTCTTTGGAAAGTAGGTACAGTTTTTGTAATTGGTTTGTTGTCGCGCAGCTGAATTGGTTGTGGCAAAAAAGCTTTTCCAGCAAATAGTCGCACACAACTGCAAGAACAACAGACAGTTCAAGCTGAAAGCAAACAGCAAGCAGACAAGCAGTCGAGTTGGGTAGCTTAGCAGTCAGGCGGTCGAACAATGGCTTGCGCGTTGGCTTAAAGACACATACATATACATATATGAATGTATGTTGATAGAGCAGTGCGCTGAAGCCAGAAAGGTTCATTTGCTGTAGACTGGAGGTAGTGCTGCTGCTTGTTGTTGTTGCTTGTTTTTTGTCATTCGCTTATCTACCTTCGAATTTTGCGGGCAAAACAGCTTGGCCAATGCTGAAGTTGCAGACTTTTGATTTCCTTCTTTCTGCACACAGGCACACACACTCTCACACAGACACATATATGCAACATACAGCTCTCAACAGATATACTTTAAAGCTGCTTGTTGTTGCTGCTAATGTTTTATGGCTTAACTTAACGCTTTTTGACTTGTCGAATTTTCTGATATTGTGCTTCTTGTTTTTGCTTTTGTTTTTGTCAAGCCAAGCCATTCAGGCAGGCAAGCAGTGAACTATTGAAAGGTTTCAGGCCAATTGTTTCAAATGCTTTTTGATTGCTTTGGCACTTCGCTTAGGTTTGGCGCGTTTCAATCGCCTGCAATGTGAGTGTATGTGTGTGTATGGCTATTGCTTTGTGTTGTTCGTGTTTTGCTGTGAGCTTCTTTGCAAATGTGTTGCTGATTGTTTCGCATACATATCTTGTGCTGCTGCAGCTGCTGGCGGGTCAGCAACATTATTTTTTGTATCTTAGCATGCGCTTATGTATCTTATTAGATGTAGACGGTTAGCTAGTAAGTGCATATGTATGTGTGCCTTCTAATACATATGTGTTTATGTTTTTTGTTTGCTTCTAACTCCTCGTTCACGTTCGTTTTTTTGCTCGTCTGCTGTTTTTTCGTTTATCTTTGCTTAGTTTTGTATTGTTGTTGTTGCATTTTGATTTTTTTTTTCTACTTCAGTTTTTTCTAAGCACGAAGCCCTCGCGCCTTTTGTCCGCCATTTTGTTGCTGAGTCCCAAAAAAAAATTATTGTATCTATTCGCTTTACTCTTGACTGAACTGTGTGGCGTTGATTAACCTCAAATCTTTTAAGATTTGAAATTTTTATACATGTTTATACATTTTTTTCTAACTTTCAGCGCGCAGCTGCGCCTTTGCTTCATGGACATGCCAGTTATTGAATACTTTTCAAAGTATCTGTTGCATTGTTTATGCTGTTATATGATGCTGGCACGCACCACTTACCAATGAAGGGAAAATCAAACAAACAACAACAAAAAATCGTATAATATGATCGTTTGAAAAATGGCTAAAGGCAAAAATTTGTAACCTAAAGTCGGTTTCAAGTGTTGAATTTGACTGCTTGTATATCATTTTTATTGCTAGTTCATTTATGTTTTTGTTGTAAATTTTTTTTTTCACGTCTGTAGGCATTTGATAGCCAAATTTGGTTTTTTCTATAAATTCTTCGTCAGATAATGCTTTGGTAGGGCTTTGTGTTGTTGTTGTGTATGTGTGTTGTAGGCCTTTTGAGCGCTTTGTTCGAGTTGATTGAATTTTTAGGTAAAAGTTAGTGTAATATATCGTTTTTGGTAATTTACATGAACACAAATTGTGACTCTATTTGGATGTAAAGTAAAAGTATAAAATAAAAATGTTTGATATGTGGCCTAGTGTACGTGTAAACATAACAGAGAAATAGATTAATAAGAGACATATATATAGAAAAAGATGACATTTTCAATCAATTTCCGCTGAAAAAATAAACAAATATGCTTTATTTTATTGCCATACAATTAAATATTTTTGGTTTTGTTATTGTAAATTAAAAATTTTTATATTTAAAAATATACAGGGTATATTAGGATTGCCACGATCAAAATCAAAATTTTCAAAGGAAAACTTTTTTGTTAGACAAGACAGCTTCACAAAATTTGGCAAAGATTATTCTCAAATATAATGCTAAAATTGGTTGAATTGAACCACTTTAGCACATGGCTTTGTATGGCAGCCTGACTGACCGATTAATATCAAGTTCTTATAAGAAAACTTCTATTTGACAAGATATCTTCTCGAAATTTGGCATTGATTATTGCCTAAAGCAACGCTGCCATCTCCGCACATACTGCTCAGATCAGACCACTATGGCATATAGCTGTCATACATGCTGATCACTCAAAATCAAATTTTTGTATTGAAAAATTTTTTAGTTTGGAAGGATATCTTCGCAAAATTTGGCATAAATTTTTACTCAAAACAGGGCTATGAACTCCGAATATATTGTTTAGATTGGACCACTACAGCAATGACTGACATACAAGCAGACCGATCAAAATCAAGTTAAAAATTTTGTATGCACTTTTATACTATAAGGAATGCTTCGTGAAGAGTATTTTAATTTCCGCGTTGCTGAAGTTAAAGTTTTTTCATGTTTTTAAGTAAATTTAATATTTAAACTTGGCTTCATTTTATCATTATGTACTATTTTATTTAGTACATTATATTACTTACAATTTTTATTACACTTTATTTTAAAATTTTAAGTTTCAACAGAGCAAACAAGTTTTCAAGTATTTTCATAAATATTTGCTTTAATTTTACTTTGCTCCAAACCAATGCTTAATAATCCCTTATATTTGTATATCGCCCAATAAGAGCTCAAAACCAAATTAACTGGCCTCAACAAAAGACTTTAGCAACGAACGTATTCGATAATTATTTATGCAACAGTGTGTAGTATACCTACATGAATTATATTAAAAAATTAGTTTTGCAAATATATGCTAATTGGCCAATTTTATGCTGCAAACTGACTAAAATTGATTAAAATGATAAGAGCGTATATACAAAATTATTGAGAGTTTGAGAAAATAAATTAAATACATTCAGTACATGTATAGTATATTTGCATATATTATATATTATAAGCCGAAAGCAAACATATCACGCTAACGCTTTGGTAGTCAATTAAATAATAATTTAAATTATTGTGACAAGCAGCAAGCAGCGAGGGGATTGAGATTGAGTCAAGCTTACCTTACAGTATGAAAGATTTAAGCAACTCAGTTTTGAACTAAATCAGTGATAATAAATAATATTAAGACCAAAAATAAATAAATAGCACTAGATGTGTCAGAAGTTTCGAAAAAAAAGTAAGACTCTTAAACAAAAAAAACCATAAACTATAAAAAATACTCAACTATCTGACAACGCTAGCTATGGCTTTTTGTTGCTGTAGTAGGAAATCCAAGTCGAAATTTAATCTGTATTAAATCTGTAACTGTCACTTTGAACACACAAAGTTGACCAAATCCGCGTAACTCAACAAAATATCTAAACTCGTTTCTTTCGACAACGAATATTTTATGGCAGCAGTTGGCAGTTGCACCAAACTTTAACAGCAGCAAGAGTTAAACAAAAAAATAGTAAAAAATAATTACATTGAAAGCAGCAACAAATTCAACTAACTGACAGCAATTGCAAAATCACAACATATTATGCTGTCCGCACTAAAAGTCGAGCAAAAGTCTTGCAAATAGATAAGACAAGCACGAGCGGGCGCAAGCTGGATGGACGGGCGACAGTTAACAAAACGGCAGTGGGCAACCGGTCGCCCAAATGGCCAAATGTCCAGCTGCACTACAAATATTAAAATACATATGTGTATGTATGTATATATAATATATAGAGGTAGATAGATAGCCAGTGAAGTTAATTCGAAACAGCAACAAAAACAAAAAAAATCAGAAATCAGGCTAACAGCAAGCCGCTTGCCAGAGCAGTGGCCAACTAGCGTTTTAGCTGCCTTACGTGCGCTCTACGCTGTAATTTAAAAGTGCACAGCCAAATTGGAAATGTGCTGAAATTAGAGCAATGAACACGCATTGCCTCGCTGAATGGGAGTGGCGAGTATATAAGCCGGAGTACTTACTTCATGCACATATGATTATGTACATACATATATATATACACACCTGTATATATATATATAGGAACATATAGAGATAGAGATAGATGTAAAAAACTGAACATTAATATTAATAAAAATAGAAAGTAATTCGAAAGATTTATATATTTAAAAAAAAGGTTCGAATATAACGTCTAAAACAAAATTTTTGCTCAAAACACGATAAAATATGCAGAATAAAAAAACTCCAAATTTTATTTGCTACTCGTAAATAATTAGATTAAAATTAATTTGATTTTAAATTACGAAAATTTTTGAAAT